GCCTGTGCCAAGGCTGGCATCTCTCCAACATCGGGAGGCCGGCAGACAGAATCCACCGGTGCTGGCTGAGGTCTGGATGGAGGCCTCAGTCTACCACTTGGACAGTAAGTCTGTGGCTCCAGCCCTGTCCTGTCCACACCTTTCTCTCCAGGGACTCTGATCCTTCAACAATTGTTAGAAATAAGACCCCTGAAGACCACTGGAGTCACAATTGAAGACAAAGAAATGGAGAGTTGTTTCAGAAAGGCAAAATTTACTTTTTCAGAAGGTGCATGGGCCCATGGGCACAGCACGCACAAAGGGGCAGGCAGTCTGTCCGTCCTTATATTCCTGATAAGACTGACCCTGCCTCTTGACCTAGATTGGGCCAGATCAAAAGTTCACAATCTTCTCGATTGGCTGAAGTTCTATACTAACTTGGGGGAGGGGTTAAGATACACAGCATAGAGGGCAATTTTTGAGGGCAAAGGGGCTTAGCAAGAATCCAGAACAAGAAGCTGGAACTACAGACAATGGAGGTAACTAAAATGGCGACACACACTTTGACAGATAAGACTGCTTCCTCACAAGTGACCCATGACACTTTTGCCCATCTGCCAGTTCATCCAGCCTCCTCTTCCCACCACTGCCTCCTGTCCAGCCTCTCTCAAGGTTCAAAGTGTCACTTAGTGCCCTGTGATGGAGGCTGCTGTGTGCTTCCTGGTCAGAGGAGCTCTGCTGCTGGGAAGAGATTCTCCTGCCCTTTGGTTTCACTTCTCCCTTACCTGAGGGCTTTCTGCTACCTGCCTCTAAATCCCACAGCATTTCACACCAAGGCTCTCGCATAACCAGGCAGCAATGATGGCTGCCTCTCTAGTTTCTGTTTCAGATGTGGCCTGATAGTCTAGGCGGGGAGACGCCAAGGCCTCAGTCCAGGTTTAACCCCAGGGTCAGGGTGACCTTGGGTGGACCAACTATCTCTTCAGGTCTTGGGTGTTCTTTAAAAATATTTGAGGGGATGAAGAAGGAGAAGAAGAAGAAGGAGGAGAAAAAGGAGGAGGAGGAGGAAAACGAGGAGGAAGAGGAAGAAGAGGAGGAGGGATAGATGAAAAGGACATTTGACAGCATAATGTTGGCCATAGAACTCTGTTCCTTAACGTGTGTTACATAGATCACTAAATAAATGCATGGGATATTAAGAAGTGACAGGAGAAAAGATGTTTCTGTGGTCAAATGATGTTAATGAATGCTGGATTAAACAAAGCAAAGCGAGTTGCCGTGCCATGGAATTTTTAGTTCCTTCGACATAATTGCTCATGTAAAATGTCTGGGAGGGAAGCTATTTAAATACTGAGTAATGTGTTCACAGAGCCCCTTGAGGGGCTTTGGGTCACACGATCACTTCAGAAACATGACAACAGCAGTCTTGTGTATTTTGTTCTTTCTCTCAACCTTAGCGCTCCAGCACCACCTGGAAGGGACTTGAGAGTAGTTTTTGATGGAAGAATAAACACACGGAAGCCCTGCCTTACACACATTAGGAATTCAATCATACTAAGTTTACCTGATTCATCAAAGTCGCTTCAAATAGGCAACTCTACTTCTAGCGACTCTATATGGCCACTCCTCCACCCACCCCGACTTCACCCAGTCCATAAACCTCAGTGCTCAGCAGGTCAGGTGGGTCTCCTGGAGCACAGTGACTCAGCGCAGACAGAGGGTCACTGCAGATGAGCAGTTGGAAGGACACCTAGAACTGAGAGACCCAGTTATCCTGCTAGCTCTCACTTTTCCACCAGTGCTTACATGGCCCCATATCCTTCTGGCCACCCACCCTGTGCCTGACCCAGCCTGAGGCCTGAGGGTCTCTCGGATGATCACCAGAAAAGCTCCTAAGTTCTTGCCATCCAACTCCCAGGTGTCTCTGCATCTGTTCCATTCTCTTTTGAACATTTCACACATGGCCTTGAATGACTGACTCATGACATTTGGGCTGCAGCTTCACAGTGGCAACATTTGCACCCCCCACCACCACCACCAATTTCACATTGCCAGGAAAGTTGTTGAAAGGCCCAGCCATCTTGGGAGCCAGGACACACAGCTCATGGCTGGCCAGCCAGTGGGTGGATTGCCCTTGACCAAATTCCATCCCTAATTCCATTAGCCCTGCTCAAATGTCTTCCAGTTGGCAAGTTCCCTGAGATAGAATAGAACATGTACCTCAATACCCGCTGCTTTTGTCTTTGGGGTGAACAGTGGGGATGGCCCTACCAGGATGTGCACTTGGGAGCTGTGACATATCATGTTGTGTTCTCAGTCCAGAATTCCCAAGGCCTGTCCACAGCATCCCTTTTCTTTTGTATCAATTACCTTTTTCTGAGTAACAAATCAACCCCAAATTTAGCTGATAGAAGCAATAGGTGTGTATTTGATTCATGATCTTCAGGTCAGCTAAGGAGTTCAGGACCAGGCCAACTTGGCTGACCTTGGCTGGACTTACTCTGCATCTGTGGTCAGCTCATAGGTCAGCTGGGGCCACTGGTCTAGGATGGCCTCACTCACAGTGTGCCAAGAGGTTGCATGCCCACCATGGTGATGGGGCAACTGAGTCAGGTGTCTCTTTGTCTTTCATTCACCAACAGGCTAGTGTGGATTTGTTCATGCAGGAAGCACGGGATCCTGACCTGGCTCTACCTCACAGTTCTCTCTTCTGAATTCTTTTCCATCTGCCCTGATGCAGCTATAAGAGCGGGTCAACCTGCTCTTCAGTGCCACGTAATTTCTTTCCTTCTAATCCGCTAAAGAGTTGTGACCACAGATACTCCTTTCTGGGTTGTAGATTTAGTAAGTAAAAATATAGCACCCTGTTACTTTGAACATTAAATAAACAACAAAAATGTCTTCAGTGTAAGTAAGACCCAAATATTGTAAAAAAGCCAACTTATTCTACAAGTTTATTTGTTGTTTATCTCAAATTTAAGTTTAGATGGGTACCCTGTACTTTATCTGACAACAGGCCCCTTCTCAACCTAGAGGAGAGAGGGCGTTGACTAGCTTCTGGGTTAGCCAATGACTCTCAGTAACCAGCAGAGGGCAGCACTAGTCTTTGGCGATGGGCAGTGGATGTGGGATCAATGTCTTTCCTCTCAGTGCCTCTCTCTAGGTAAAAGGTGTGTGATAAAAGATAGACTGAGGGTTCCTGTTATCTTAGGGATTCCAATTGCAATGAGAAACATCTTGCCTTCAAATGTGAAGCTAGCTGGGCGTAGCATGGACTCATGGGATTCAGTGTCACCTCACTAATCACACTCTAGATAATGAAGTCAAGGCACTTCTTAGTCCATGCTATCCTGATATCATTTGATCATGTAGGAACCTGAGCCTTTTTACATATTCACTCTGGTGGCCCACAGCTGTGTTGGGGACTTGGACTTGGGAACATGGCTTGAGGGTGCAGAACTGTCAGGCTAAAATGTCAGTACAAAAGACTGAGAACTCATCTCTGACTGTGTCCCCACCCAAGGCAAAGTTCAGCTGTCTCACTCACTTTCTGACTTCTCCATGTAACCACAGTAGCAGGTGAGTCGGGCTGAGTCCTGGAAGCAGGCTTGATCCATTTCTCTAACTTCTGGATAGGGTTTTCTTTTTCACATTCAGCATGGGGTGTGGGCTAACCACATTTCCTTTCTCACTGTTTCCTGCCTCTCCACCCACCTTCTCTGTTTTCTACCTCTCCACATTCCTTCATCTCCCATTCACCACTGACTTTCCATTATAGATCATCTTGGTGGTAAGTCCCAAGATTTGAATTTGGGTTTTGGGGAAATAAATCTCAGGTCTACATCAGGGAGTCCAACTTAACTAACCAAAGTTTTGTGAAAGGTCTTGTTCAAAGTCACAGCCAACAACAATAAACCTTGGGCTTCCTTTTCCCATTACTACTGGGGAACTGCTGGAGAGATTAGGACTGTGAATTGGAATGTGGAATAGGATATGGGTGCTTTCGAATCTCTGCCCTATTATGATCTTAACAGATCACTGGTGTTTATCACTTGGTGGATAAAAACAAAGTAAATACCCTGTCCTACAATGCTGAAAGATCCAGAAAACAGGTAACAACATCTTATTACCTAGGGTCATCTTTCACAATGGAGATTTCAAATGGGTGCATGGCATGGGTGTAGGGTAAGTTGACATCCCGTTCTGTTCTGTTTCCTTCTCTTCTTTCAGATGCACACCCCCTGGAGGGTCACACTTGGGGGAGTTGAACTTCTGATTTCTAAAGGATGCTCCATTTACGTTGAATACAGCCCCCAAATTTACCCTGCCAATCAGGTTTTGCTCTCTGCTCATCACCCTCCTGCTTGTGTTGACCTTTGTACCTTCCTTGGTTTTGGGGTGGCCCCTTGGCTCTGCTGCTCTTTTCATGCTGTTTGAATTTGGCCTCTGTTGCTGACTGACTCATGATTGCCTGTCCTCACACCCCTTTTCTCATGGTACATGGTTTGGAGCTCCTGCCCCTTGACCAATGTCCCCTCAGAGTAATCCAACCCATGATGTCCAAGCAAACCCATGATGTCCAAGTGATGTCACTTGCTTGGACAACCCATGATGTCAAGCAAGTGACATCACTTGGCTGTCAGTCCAGGTTGGTCACTGAAACTCGCTCATTCCTCCTCGTTTTCTCTGTGTCTTTCTCTGACCTTACAGAAAGGAAACTCAGCAAGGATCTACCACAGAAGTGGCACTGGTGGCTATAATATGAGGGCTGTTTTCATTTCCAGTTTTTTAATTGCAGTTAACACTAAGTTTGAGATGACCATGGAGGGAAAGCTTAGAAGCTGCTCTGAGCATTGCCTTGCCTCATAAGCACAGGTCCTTGGTGTTCACAGGCCTTAAGGTCAACTTTATTAGAATCTATGCACACTGATGCTCGGGTCCACACAGGTGTTCCACCGTGCAGGCTGGGGCTGACCTTCCTGCTTGGTTGGGGAGAGAAAAGCCCTGGCCTCCCATCATGGTCACCCCGCAGCAGGATTGACCACTTTTCCCAGGAAGAGCAGACTCTGGGTGGTCACCTCCCAGAGAAGTAGCAGAAAAGGCCTGTTGAACTGGGCAAAAGGGACCGATGTCATGTTCAGGGGTGGGGGCTGAGAGAGGAGGCCAGAGGTAGCCCCTGCCTCAGTTCCCTTCTCATTTATGTCCACCACTGCCTTGTGTGACACCTAGGAGAGAAGAGGGACAGAGATGGCATCAATCCAGGGAGCTTTGAGGGCAGAGGTTGTTCTGTGGCACCAGGGAGATGGAGCAGAGTCCTGTTCAGGCCCAGCCAGCTTAGGAAGCAGCTCTGGGCTTTACCTCTTCACCCTCCTGCCTCTCTCCATTTTCTCTCACTCCTGAGGGTTTGGCCTAAAGTGCCAAGTGCCCTTTGGCAGGGAGACAAATGGGCCTGAGCCAACTCAGGCTGCTGAGTCTCAGTAGGCTATGAACCCAATGGCTACCTTCACAAGCATCTCTTCAGTTCGTGGGCACAGGGGCTCAGGCCTGCAAGTCATTTGTGTTCTTTGAGCTGCACTTAACCTGTCCAAGGCTCTGTTTTCTCTCCTTTAAAATGACTGGTTGGAGTCAATGCGCTGTATAGCTATCCTTATCTCAACCAGCAAAAACCCTTGTTCCTTCCTATTATTGCTTATACTCTCTCTTCAATAAAATTAGAGATAAGGGCAAAATAGTTTCTGCCGGGTATCGAGGGGGTGGGGGGGAGAGGGAGGAGGTGGAGTGGGTGGTAAGGGAGGGGGTAGGGGCAGGGGGGAGAAATGACCCAAGCCTCCTTGTATGCACATATGAATAATAAAAGAAAAAAAAATGACTGGTTGGCCTAAATCAATGTTCTAAATGAGCTCTCTGGAACCAGGCCCTCTGAGGACCTCCATGTGAGAATTTTCTCTTTTTTTAGCCTCATTTTCACACAACTTCTCAGGAAGAAAAGATTCTGAGGTTTTGAAAGAAGTTGAAAAAAATGGCCTGGATGTTCTAAAAGGGTCTATGGAAAAATAAATGCCGCATTTAAGGTCACTGAAACAAGTTCTTTAAAAAGCTGACCTATTTCTTTTTCCTTCTTGTTCATCCTTCACACACACACACACCTTCACACACACACACACATACACACACACACACACGCACACACACTCACATCTACCACAGGTACAGTACACGTGCACACACACTGTGCAACGTATACACACACATACACCACGCACATCACAATACACACAGGTGCACTTACACACACAATGCACACACGCACGCACACACACACACACGTGCAGGACCATGTCCCAGTGGCCTTGATTGCACATTCAACCCCTAGCTGTTTTTTCCCAAATGAAATTTTTTCCCAAGTGAATATGAATTTCCTAACAAACTCAAATGGTAACAAACAACTCTATCCTAAAACAAAACAAAAAAGCAGCCAAGCCCAGGGAAGGGCATTAGCTGCTCTTCTTCCTATAAAAGATCACAATTATTATTCCCAGATACCAAGTCTCTCTTCTTGTTAGAAGGTTCTCAATCCTTGCCCATTCCATGTGCCCCTCCCCCATTGGTAATCGTCTTGAAAGTGGGACTTGCTTTAGCCAGTGACATGGGAGTCCATGACTTAGGCCACATGCGGGGGAAGATGTTAAGAGCATTGCACACTTCCTCGTGTTTTACCCTCTCCTCTGAGAATGGTAGGGCTCAAACAGGGGCTTCTCCTTTAACCTCCATCCTGGAAGGAAGAAGTTTCGTGAAGCAGATCTGTAGCCATGGTAGTGAGCTGACATGTTGCATGAGCAGTAGATAGGCCTATCTTGTGGTAAAGCACTGAAACATAAGGGTTGTTTCTGACTGCTGCAAAGCTAATTGATACACCTCCTGTTCATGTCCTATGACTCTCTATAGCTGTAACAAAGACAGAGGGACCCTCCCGGCTTCCCGAGAGGAAGTGTTAGGAGTAAAAACAAAGCCACTCCACCCCTGGGAATGTTCTTGCTAAGTGAATGACCTCAAATGAGCATCTACTCCATTCAGAATCCTGTATTCCTGCCCTGAAGATTGTAGACCCAGGAGAAGGGGAAGTGGAAAGAGAATTGAGAGTTTATGAAGCCAGAAAGGTTGCGGTGTTGAAAAGAACAGGGAACTTGGTTTTCAAATGCACCTTGTGTGAGAGGAGAAAGACCTCCCCTCCCCCCGCCACGTCCACACTCACCACCTTACCCGGGAGATGGTCTTGTTGGGCTGCCCTGTGATTCCTGATATGTCAGCTTCCATATCAAATATGTTTGTGAGACCAATTTGGGGAAGGATCTCTTCCAGGTTATATGTTCCAGAAATTGAAAACCTTGGCAAGTGCAGGTCCAACAGACTGCAGAGAGAATCAGACAGAGAAATGGTACTGACATGTCACATGCACTGCTGGCAGCCTGAGCTGTGTGGGAGAGAAGGGTTCCTGGCACATGGGCCAATCAGTCTTCCTACAACATGACTGGCTGTGGCAGAACCTTCCACTCCTAACACCCAGCGCTCCCTCTTCTTTGGACTCACAGAAGTCTCATGCCTGAATCTGAGAGGACTCTGCCATAGCCATCTGTCTAAGATCTTCCTCGCCTTTGTGGAGGGCTTTCTAGGTGCCAGATATGAGCTAGGATTTTACAAGGCTTAATTGATTGAATTCACATGAGATCATGTGAAGTAAATACTATTGGCGTTTCCACCTCACATCTGATACACCAGCAAGTTCTGTTGGCTCAAGTACCAAACCACTTTTTTTTTTTTTTGGTGGTAACAAACTATGTCTTATATCCATCTACTGAAGGGAAGAGGATGGGATGGGGGTGGGGCAAGAGAGGAAACCAGGGGGTGAGTATGATCAAAGTGTGTAATGTGCATATATGAAGATGTCACAATGAAACTGTTCTTTTGTATAATGAATGTATGCTAATGAAAAACAAACTTACACACACACACACACACACACACACTATCCATTTACTGTCATTGCCCTAATATAAGCCACCATTATCTTCCATCCATCTGACCTTTATTTTCTCATCTGTAAAATGGCAGAGTGCCTACAGGACTGTCAGAGGTTCTGGTGAGAGGGCATTTGTGTTAAATGTGGGTCACAAAGCCCCAGAACAACTCTTTTTCTTTTACTATTGGATTTCTACAAGCCCTGGGGTAAATTAAAGAAATTTTAACCCATAGCAAATCTATCCTTCTCTTCTTAAATGTCATTTGATAATTGCCAGGGCACCTGCAAATTTGAGTAGTTAATAACCAACATGAAAACTTCTGCCTCTAACAGAATTGGAGAATCCAATCCAGGTTACCGTTGCCAGTTTAGCACCTGGGCAATATGAGGGTCCAGATCCTAATGGAAGCAGAAGGACATCTCAGCCTCCTTGCTACGTTTTTCACAGGTAGCAGTTGGTTGGGCTGGCCCCAGGCCATTGGTAGGGGCTGGGGGGTGGTGGAGGGGATATTGAGTAGTCTTACAGTGGGGTCTGGTAGAGAGTCCAGCACATAGTAGGTGCCCCCAAAATGTAAGTGAACAGATGAACCATAAAGCATGATTCCCCAGGGCAAGCTAAAGCTTCCTCACACCTGAATGGGAGGAAGATGGCAGAGTCTGGAGTTTTCTTGTCTGAAAACCCATGAAGATGTCTGCTATGACAATGTAGTTCTGACCCAGGGAACACTTGAGATTTAGAGAGTAACTTGGATTGGTTTTGCTTTTCTATGATCAAAATGAGAAGAAATCAAACCAAACCCTTCTTGATGGAAAACCTACTAGTCTGTGCCAGTCCAGGCAAAGCTATTGAGACTGTAACTGAAAAATAAACTGAAAGCAAAAGTGCTGGGGATGTGGCTCAAATGGTGGAGTACCCCGAGTGCATTCTCCAGTACTGAAAAAAAAAGTAGTGGATACTGTGACTGTTCTGATCAATACGATATGGCACAAGTGACACTGCTTATTGACGAACCCAAGTCTTAAGAACAGTAGCTTTCATTTTCTGTCTTTTGAAGGACTTCCTCTTGGAGCCCTGACCTGGTGTGCTAAGCTAGCCTATGGAGAGTCCTAATGTCTTCCAGCCAACCCTGCCCAGGCACCAGACACACGAGTGAAGGAGACTTCAGTGGCTCTGCCCCAGCCACCACCAGACCCCAATGAATGAGAACAGCCCCACTGAGCCCAGTTTACCCAGAGAACCAAGAGAGGTGATAGCTGTTCCTTTAAGCTAGTTAGTTTTGGGAAGGTTTGTTTTGTAGCAAAAGGTAACTTGCTGCGAAACTAAGGATCACATTCCATCCCAGAGCACCCCATAAAACAAGATGCCCCTCAGGAAGGGATTGGCCAAGGAATGGGAACCTAGGGACCAAAAGAAGTTGCAATGAAGTCACCATGGCAAATCTGCAAACCAAAAGCAAGGGGGTAGGTAAGGGTCACATATTGATTCTTTTGTTATTCCTCTTGATATTTAATTGCTTAAATATTTTTAATTAAAAAGAAACTCCTTTTAAACATACACACTGTTCTGTCAGAGTCATGATTATTGTTAAGAATTGTCCTTGATCTGATTTTTTTTGCCTATTGTTAGCTACTTTCTGGTGTTAAATTATTATGGGGAGAAAAAAGAAGCGAAGAAGAAAGGAGATCAGGGCCAGAAGGACATCGGGGAAGAAGAAACAGTGGTTCATACTGAAAGAATGCTATGTTAGAATACTGGTCTAAGTATTGGCTCAATTTTCCAAGCAACCCAATGAGATTGGCATCTTGTCCTTATTTTCATAGTTGAAGAAACTGGAGGCTCAAAGAGGAGAGAAAATTTCATAAGATCATGGAGTGAGTAAAGAACAAGACGGAACCAATCCTAGAAGTTGTGCTATTGGTACTGGAGATAATCAAGATCTGCTCCTCTCTTGAGCAAAGGCTGCTGGCATCCTGTCACTTGGTACCCACCTGGGCAGGAAACGTTGGCCCCACTTTCTTAGGGTCTCTGGCTGCAGAGCAGCCTCTACCTGCTGCATTTTGCCCGGGTCGGGGAGGACCAGCACCAACAGGGCAGTGCCACTGTACTCTATCTGGAGGACGGTGCACGCCACCTCCTGGTCATAGAGGAATCTGTGCATTTCCCTTTGTTGCATCATGGGGACACGGATGGAGGTCCTCTCATTCAAGAAGAAGCTGTCCTGTTTTCGAGTCTGGTAGCGATCGAAAGGATGCTTCCACTTGGCTGAGGAAAAAAACCCACAAAAGCATGAGCACAGGTGCCAAGACAGCAAGCTGGGGGAAAATGTCCACAAAGCTGCAGTAGGGAGTGAATTCCTCTTGGGTCCATAAGTAGGAGGTAGAGAATAGCCTGGCTATAGAGCCAGGAGTCACCAGAGCAGGTCCCCAGAGCTTGAGCTGTAAGCCCCTGTGATTTTTCTTCCCTTTCAGGGAAATTTAACTTTTAAGAGGCTACAAGAAGGGGCTCCCATCTTCTAAGTACCATCGTGTACAAGGCATCATTTCTTGAAGTCATCACAGTCATTAAGAGACACATGTTATTATCCCCATATTAGGGATGATGAAACTGAGTCTTTTTTGAATTTCTCTAAATACCCTAATTTGCAGAGCCATGAAATATTTTCGCTGGATTAGTGGCCTGCTTCTAACTGCACAGGTCAGGTTTTTTGCACATTGGGCTGATTCTCTCTGCCCAGATACCTCTAGAAAACCAGGTTCTAAAGAGAAGAACAAGAGCTCTTCCTCCACCCCCAACTCCCTAATAAAAGAAAGAATTCAGTTTATAGAATGTGATGCATAGCACAAAAGCCCAGTAAGATAGAGACGTGAGCAATCTGTCAGTTGCAATCTGGTCTACCTTGATTGTTTCATCTCTCAAACTTCTTTTTTTTTTTTCCTTTTTCTTTTATTATTCATATGTGCATACAAGGCTTGGTTCATTTCTCCCCCCTGCCCCCACCCCCTCCCTTACCACCCACTCCGCCCCCTCCCTCGCCCCCCCCAATACCCAGCAGAAAATATTTTGCCCTTATTTCTAATTTTGTTGTAGAGAGAGTATAAGCAATAACAGGAAGGGACAAGGGTTTTTGCTGGTTGAGATAAGGATAGCTATACAGGGCATTGACTCACATTGATTTCCTGTGCGTGGGTGTTACCTTCTAGGTTAATTCTTTTTGATCTAACCTTTTCTCTAGTACCTGTTCCCCTTTTCCTATTGGCCTCAGTTGCTTTTAAGGTATCTGCTTTAGTTTCTCTGTGTTAAGGGCAACAAATGCTAGCTAATTTTTTAGGTGTCTTACCTATCCTCACCCCTCCTTGTGTGCTCTCGCTTTTATCATGTGCTCATAGTCCAATCCCCTGGTTGTGTTTGCCCTTGATCTAATGTCCACATATGAGGGAGAACATACGATTTTTGGTCTTTTAGGCCAGGCTAACCTCACTCAGAATGATGTTCTCCAATTCCATCCATTTACCAGCGAATGATAACATTTCGTTCTTCTTCATGGCTGCATAAAATTCCATTGTGTATAGATACCACATTTTCTTAATCCATTCGTCAGTGGTGGGGCATCTTGGTCTCAAACTTCTTATAATTATCCCTACCCCACCTTCTAAAAGCACTTGTCTTCATGACAAGGGAAGGAACTGGGTCACGTCGTCCCCCATACCCAACCCAATCAATGATCGAGTAGTGTATATTGTTCTCCCAAAGCCACAGCTTCACTCGAGGCTACCGTCAGCTTTACTTTGGACCATTTTGAGAGACTTCTCTCCTCTACCATCCTCACCTCCCTCCAAACCATTTTCCAGATGGTACCCAGAATGGCTTCTCACTTTTTTTTTTTGAGGCAGTGTCCTGCTGTGCTGCCCAGGCTAGTTTTAAATTCCTGGACTCTTGCAGTTCTCCTAAGTAGCTGGGTTTATAGAAATGTACCTCCATGCCCTGCCACAGTGATCTTTCAAAACAGATGTGATCGTGCCATTCTACTGCTTAAGACTCTGGCAGTTCTGCAGGTCCCTGGATGAAATCTAGGATCCTCAGTCCCCTGTTACCTCTGCTTGGCAACTTGACCCTCTCCCTAGGCAGGCCTCTATTGCGTTCTATGTCTCATCAAAGTAAAGGAACTTCGGTTCTTTGAAAATTCTTTTCATGGACCTCTTTACCCAACCTAAACCCTTTTCTTCCACCCTATCCCACAGCCCCTTCGCCTGAGTATATCCAACTCATTCTTCATGACTCTGGTTAGATGCCTCCTTTTCCAGGTAGCTCTCCCTCGCATCCCAAGCCTGGGTGGAGGTCACTCTTGAGATTCCATGTGCCTGTACCCACAAAAAAGAGCATCACTGTCCTCTGATCTCTGTTGCCTCTTCACTTTTTTCCTGCCCACTTGGGACATGCACCACATGAAGGCTGGAAGACTGCCTTATTCATAATTTTTCTTTCTGGTGGGACTGGGGTTTGAACTCAGAAGTTCAAGCTTGAAAAGCAGGTGTTCTATTACTTAAACCACACCTCTAGTCCATTTTACTCTAGTTATTTTTTTGAGATGGGGTCTCATGAATTATTTGCCGGGGCAGCCCTCAAACCCTGATCCTCCTGATCTCTGCCTCCTAAGTAGCTAGGACTACAGGCTCAAGCCACCAGTGCCTGGCTGTTACTCATAAAATTTCCAGGAGGCTCACAAAGTCTCACAAGGTTGGATAAGCCTGCTGGCCGCCTTCTGCAGTGAGAGCGTTTACTTGCAGAGGAGGGCAAAACTGAGAAGGCCTCACCTTTGAAGAAGATGTAGTTGAGGAGAACCATGAGTGTGTCTTGGCTGAACTCCTGGAGGCAGTCGATGATCTGCCCGTATGTCTGCTTCTTCACATAGTCATTGATCTGTCCAGTGGTGGCAGAATTTGTGAAGTTGGCGGAAAAAGCAAAGGCTCCATACAGCTCCTTGACACGGTCCAAAAAGTGCTGCTGAGGCTTTAGCTGCTTGTCTAGAAATAAGGAGTTTCTTATTTTTAGTTCCAGCTTGGGACTTGGCAGGTCAAGGGCACGCAGGAGGCTCTGGAAGCCCCTGTGGATGTCAGCTGCTGGGGTCTCTGTGAGGTTGAAGCCCAGGCCCTCCAGGATCCGAGCTGGGGTGTCAGCTTGGGCCCCAAGAGAGAGCAGGGCCAGGGTGCTAGAGAGGCTGACCGGGGAGAAGAGGATGTTCCCTGGGACACCTGCTGCCAGCTGCTTATACAGATGCAAAGCAAAGCTGGTAATGGTGGATGTGACTTTGTGGTAGGCAGGGGCTGGCTCTGAGAGCTGGTGGCTGGGGATTTGAGGCACCCCTAGACTCTTGTCTCCATGGGCAGGAAAGGGCTGGCAATGGATAGAGGCCAGGATCCCAGTTCCCAGCAGCCATAGCCAGGCTGTCCTCATCCTCTGAAAACAAGATGGCAAACACATCAGTCTTCTTCACAGATAACCTGTCATTCCTCAGCCCTTGCATAGAAACCCTACCATTCAAACTAAATCCCACAGCAGGACCATGCAATACCCTGTGGAGAACAAGATGGCAGATGAGTGTGTAGGCCTCTAGACTTTAGTCAGGGCAGCAGCCCCTTGTCCGCTCCAGGAAGTGATAGATTTTGTTGAGTAAAGTACTCTGGGGTATGGAAATTTTTCATAGTCTATCCTCCTTTTTTTCCTTCCCTTTTCCTTCCTTCCCTCCCTCCCTCTGCCCTCCCTTCCCTCCCTCCCTCTGCCCTCCCTTCTCTCCCTGGAGCAGCAGTCTCCCTCACGGCCTCAGCAGGGAACAGCCCTGCTGACACCTTGATGTCCAGCTTGTAGAACTGACATGAATAGACAAAAATGTCTGCTGTTTAAACTCCACACATTGTGGGGTATTTTGCAAAGCAGCCGCTGCAAACTAATGCCCTATTGCTTATGCTCTTGTTTAAATCACAGGATGTGCTGGAAGAGGAGGTCACAATGGTGGAGGGAGAAAAGTCTCCGGCTTCAGGCAGGAACTGGAAGAGAGAGAGCAGCAGTGTGGACAATTACACCCCTGCTTAGGCCTACTGCCTTATTTTCCCTTCCAGGTGATTCCTACAGCCTACAGTCGCACAGAAGCCTGCGTCCTTCCAATCCTGATGGCCTCCTGCTCCCTGTGAACCAGCCCTCCCACTCTTCCATCGCCCCTGACCGTGGATCCTGGTTAGTTTGTCCTGAAGACATCTGTATCGTACTCAGGATTTTTAGTAATTTTTGCCCTGACAGATGACCTCTCAGGGTCAGTTACAACTACTGTGGCACTGAGAGAGCACATTGCTGCAGATGGTTTAAGGCTTCTGGTGCTGGAATCCCCTGCCGAACCACAAAGGCCAGCTGTCCACGAGGCATGAATGTTGTCTCCTTATCTGTTATGTTCAAACAGCTTGCTGGCTAAAGTGCAGTGGGCACTTTCCCAAGGTCATGTCCTCTCTCCAGCACAGCTCACTGTTGGTCACCTCATGGCAGTACCTGCATGCTTGGTATTTTCCTTGGGTGGCAAGCTTTGAAGATGCAGAACAATTTAAATATTGGCCTGCCCTTAGGTGAAATAAAAAACAAGCTACTTCTGGTTTATCCCTCTTAACCCATTATACTCAAAACCTTTTCCTACACACTGCACCCCAGGACCCCCAGACTCGCAGACGGGTCTGTTGCCCAAAGAGGACTGCACTGTAGCCAGGAGGCCTGTACTACAACAAGGCTCTGCAGCAACCCACTATGACACTGTCTTTGAAACTCAGTGTCTCCTTTCACAAAGTGCAAGTCACAGAGCCACCTCTACATGGGGGCACTCAAGAATTATGTGCTATGCAACAAATAAAGCACCCTGCAAAGGGAAAAGACACCATGGAACTTTTCCTGCCTTTCCACCAGGGCCAGGTACAATGATAATCTAACTCACTTCTTACTTCCTTTTCCAGAAAGATTCTGGGAGGAAACTGAGACCCCCCCCCACCCCATTTGTTAATTATAAAATTTCCATTAGTAGTTTATTTAAGGCTAAGGATATTGGATGCATGGCATCACTGGTTTGCAGACAGGGGTGTTTGCAAATGCAGGGGGAGGGGTATAGGGGGTGGTATTTGGGGTCATATCAACCACTGAAGGAGGGGTGCTGCTGGTGTTTACTAGGTCAGACTCACACACATGAAAGCTATTGAAATGCCCAGAAAAGTCACAAGCAATGAAGAATAGTCTTGCCCAACTGCAGAGAAACACTTGTTTTGTGTTGTTTAATTTAATCCTATGAGAACTTTTAGGCACAGGGATTCTTATTCCATTTGGAGAAATTGAAACTCAAGGTGAGGCCAAACACCTGGTAAGAAGTAGGAGCAGGATTCAGCTCCCCTTAGGGCTGACCCTTTTCCATTTCAGAGTTTCTAGTAAATTTTGACACTTCACTTTGGGTTGCACTGTCCCATTTTCTTATTTGTCTGCTGGGAATATTTAAAGTTCTCTCAAAATTTTTGAAGATCAAGTTTTCCATAAAATGTTATGGAAAACTTTTCAAAGTCCAAACTGGTTTTTGAAGTCAAAACTGGAAGTTCTGGCTCAAGACTCAGAGAATACTTAGTACAGTGTTCAGGGGACTCACACACACACACAATCACACACAGAGAGGGAGAGAGAGAGAGAGGGAGAGAGACCTGCCTTCCTTGCAGATGAGCATAGTACTCACGGAGCAGACACTGAACTGGGTCCAGTTCCCAGCCCGGCACGGCCTCCTGCCCACAGGAAAGTGGTGTTTGAAGACCACAGCAGCCTGGTCAATATTTGTCAGGTCAGTTCCTGGAACTTGTTTGAAGGCAGATGCAGCAAATGGGAAGGGATGTTTTTTCAAAGTGTCTGTCACACAAACAAGCAGGTAACCCGTGCTTCAGGCCTGCTGGGTAGGAGGATGTTCTGACACTGGTCATGATGGGCTGGGGGTTGGGGTGATGTTGAAGTGACTTTATAGGATCCAGTTATTCTGGGAATGAGAATGTGGGCAAGGCCTGGCCATCCCAACATTACAGATGGAAGACCCAAGCTCTATGCAGGCAAATAACTTGCTCCCAAGTTGTTTCAAGCTTTTACCACCACACCAAACCACTCCAGTGTTTTCTGGACACTTCTTAGTAATATAATCCATGGGTTGGGAGGGAAGTTCAGTCTCTCTCCTGCTGTAAAAGCCCCATAAAGTGGGATCTTGGCTCTTGTTCACTCATGTCTCCCGAATATCTAGAAGGAAACCTGGAACTAAATGAATATTTTTAAAGAGAAAACCTCTTGGTGATGGAATGGAAGTGATTTGTGTTCTTCTTAGATTTTTTATAGTTTCCAACTTTCTTAGATAAACCATGTATCTTGTTCTTGTTCAAAGTCAAAAGCCAGTAAAACATTTCTGTTAAAAATGAGAATTATTCAAGCTGGTGTAGTAGTTTATACACACTTGTAATCCTAGCACTTGGGAGGCTGGAGCAGGAGGATGGTGCTTTCAGCTTGGGCTACATAGCAAGTTTGAGGCCATCCTGGATCACAGAGTCAGACCGTCTCAAAAAAAAAAAAAGAGAACTATTTCATTCTACCAGTAAACTTTATCAACCACTTTTAAAGCATAAAGTATCCTAGGAGACTGAATCTGCTTCTCCAATGGGGAGGGGAGGAGGTGCCTTTGAGTCTATATTTGTCAAAATGCTCCCTGTTCTATTTTCTCCCTGGAGCAGCATTGGAAAGAGCTGGTACTGTCTGATCCTCACCTGTTCTGGCTCTTCTAAGCTTTGTTCTATATGAGGAGCAAAGCTGCTCTGAAGGAGGTTGACGCCTGGACTCAGATCTCATGAGAGGCCAGAAGCCACTCTCTGATTCCTGGCATGCAGAAGCAATTTGTTGTACTAAGCTACTAAATCTAACAGTCATTGGTTATGCAGGAAGAGGCAAATGATAAAGATTTTGTTAATATAGGTCTCTAGGAAGAAATTAATAGGAAGTAGTAGAGACTGCAATCAGGTCTCTGAAATAAACATTATATAAACTTGGCATGTATTACACATGGTTTTATATGCAGAGGCCATGCAGCATCTCCCAAACATCCTATTTCTGCTCCCTGGCTGAATGGAGTTTATCCCCAGCAATCTGGACAAGAGAATCTTTCCAGTGCAGCCGGAATCCCTTCCACGAGCCTGGCAGTGCCTGTGCTCACACTGGTGCCTTAGGTGACTGAGGCTTACCTCAGTCCCTCCCACTGAATTCCTGACTGCTCATTTGAGGGCTTTGCAGTCTGGGGAGGGCACTGTGTGCAGGTCAGCTGACTTAGCCTGAGCTAGGTGGGGTGATACTCTAAGCACCTCTGCTCCAGAGTCTCTCACCCTTCTCCCGGGACCAGTGGGATTATCTGGGCATGATGCCCCAAGTTCAAGCATCAGAGGGCCAACCGAGACCTCCAAGATGGCCATAGCTGCAGGGTCACAGAGAAGTGCCTCACTCCAGGAGGGCGTTGTTATTTTTTAAATAAATGATACTGGGTAAAAAAAAAAAAAAAAACCTTTTTATCTAAGAGCCCAACTCTGTATTTCTTTTTCTCCAAAAGTCTTTCCTGATTAAGAATGTTAAGTGTCTCCCTATTCCACTCTGTGCAGGTACTTGCTTGAGTTCCTAGGAAGAAAAACACGAAAGAGCCTCTGAGTCTCACTCTGTGATAGTGCATTTCCAGAAATGGCCAGGCATTTGCTATGGGACTTTTCTGTCCTGATCAAGAGTTGGAATCCATTTTTCTTCCTCTCGAATATGAATTTGGCCCCAAGACCTGACTGGTTGACTAGGATGAAATGAAAGTGATGCCTCGTAACCTCCAAGGTTGGCCTTAGCAGGAGTGGCACTTGGAAAACTTCCTGTTGGAAGACAGCCACTGTGCTTAAGCTGTCACCCTACCAAGGTTTAACTACCTTGAAACCATCTGCCATGAGAAACCTAAGTTCGCCATGTGAAGAGAGAAGCATAAGGCAAAGCAATGACATGCCAGACGTGTCGGTGAAGGTTTCCCAGACTTCCAGGCTGCCCACCCAGCCACTGGTGAAAACAGCCAACTGCGAGCCTCAGCAGGCAGCGTGTGCAACGGAAGAGTCACCTGGTGAAGCCCTGATCTGATTCCTCACCCTCAAAAGTGTGAATGGATAATCACGGTTTAGTTTTGGTTTTTTAGACATGTAAGGGAAAAATAGTTCTCTGAATTCTAGCCAAAGTTATGCCATTTCGTGGCAGGCCATCATTCATTCAATTTTCCATGCAATGAGGCTGTGTGACAGACTGCAGCAAAACAAAGCCATCCTTCCCATGATCTAGTAGACTTTTGCTACGCTCTTCAGTTTCTGATAGAGACAAGGACAAAGTGCAACTAAACAGTTCCT